TGTGGCAACGCGTTTCACCACCACCCCGGCCTGCTTCTGTTAGGGTGACAGATGGCCTCACCTACCACCCCCAGGTCTGCACTTATGGAGGACGGAGGTCATAGACCTAGTCTTCTAAACCTGAAATACCTCTAGCCCCGACGTCGTATAGCTTGATTGTCAAAGAGATGATATAAAGGCGGAAAAAAGTGTTAATCATTGTAACGTCTAGCTAGAAAATCCATTTACCATGTGTACGCGAACAAATTATTACCTATAGTGTATATGCATTCATAGTGATCTCTATATTAGAAATTCTATACTAGCATATTGTATCTCTTACAATCATACATATAGCTAAATATTTCCTTTCGTGTACTCGTATCATAGGCTGGATGTTATTTCAAGAGAATGTTGAATTCAGTAAGTGTCGGATGACAAATGTCCTAGGAATGGATGGATCAGTATATGTATTAAGAGCAATTAGTCTGCGACTTCTACAATGCCTGTAGTTACTGAGAACAGACAATTGACAATCGAATCACAATATATATATTGTTCGTCAATTTTAAAGGCGCGACGTGCAATTGCAATAGTTTTTACAGGTTGTCGTTACTATACCATATATAGAAAAACAAACTGTCTTTTTATTTGTAAGTACACCTAAATGCAAGTGACCACAAACGTAATTCGTTAAGTTTACCAATTATTCCAATACCATGGAGATCCCAATTGCTTTCTCATTATTTGTACGAGCTTCGTCGTAGTTGTTTGAGCACTTATGCAGTTTTATCACAGAATAGATACTAAATAATTTTTACAGACAATATTGTAACATAAATACTCATGCAGTTATAATAAAATTCATGTAGTGTTTAGTGATTACTACCCAATCCTCGTTTAAACCCGCTTAAATGCACCGACATATAAGCGAGTTTAGAAGCTAATAAAAGAGAACTCAGTCGTATAGAACTCACTTGGCGTCAAATCCCTGATGGAATTCAAAATTCATAATTTTTAATCTTGTTACTTTTGTATTCATGCTTATATTTATTTATTCTTTGTGTTTTTGTTTTATTTGTATTCAAGCACACTTGCCTTATCTTTATTAAGGCTAATGTGAAGATGACACATCACTGAAAATAGCTGTGATTAAAGACATAAACAAGCAAAGAACGGTGAAAGCTCCGGCCTCTTTGTAATTCAAACAAGCATTCACAGTCACAAATCCCATGAAAAATATATCTTCTCTGATTGCATAATGGTACCTAGTTAAATAAAATTATAGGAGTGGAGGTACCAATAAATTTGCACTTTATTGTCGCTTAAAACTAGTGACTATTAATTTAAGCGTTTTTACAAAGTATCCTTCTCTTAATTTATGTCAGGGATAATAATTTGTTACCTCGTTCATTAAGTGCTGTGCCAAGTAGCGCTCGGATATTTCTATTCCTACTTAGGTATTTAGTGTGATAGTGACCACTAATAAGTTTGACCTTACACGCCACACCGTAAGCAAAGTAAAATCGATTAAAGAATTGTTTTTTACTCTTGTATAATGTTTTAATATTGAATAGTGGTGAAAAGTAAATACTTCAATTAAAATCCGGTGGGTTTTGCATTTAGACCTTAGGCTTATTGACCAATAATCGTAAAAATGAATGATGCCGTGAAAAATAGTACTGGCGCCTCAATCGTGGTCAACTCGGTCCTCGTACCGGTTCGGGCCCAGATGAAATATCTGGGCCTGATCCTCGACGGGAGGTGGCTCTTCGACGAGCACTTCCGACAGCTTGCTCCAAAGCTGGTCGGCGCTGCGTCTGCCCTAGGGCGACTTTTGCCCAATTTGGGTGGACCCAGCGTCGCGACAAGACGGCTGTACACGGGGGTTGTCCGGTCAATGGCACTGTACGGTGCACCGGTGTGAGCGGCGGCTCTGACCGCCCAGAATAGGGCACGCCTCTGGCGCCCTCAGAGGGTAATGGCGGTCAGAGCCATACGCGGTTACCGCACCGTTTCGACGGAGGTGGCATGCGCGTTGGCCGGAACTCCCCCATGGGATTTGGAGGCGGAAGTGCTCGCCGAAGTTTATCGGCGAGTGGCTGACTCCCGGGCGGAGAGCGGATTTCGCCCTCCGCCCGAGGATGTGCGCGAGTGGCGCGAAGCCACGATGGCTCGTTGGTCGTTCCGGCTGGAGACTCCACGCGCTGGCTTCGCCGCCGTGAAGGCTCTCCAGCCGGTCATCGCCGAGTGGGCAGGGCGGCAGCACGGGACCCTTTCCTTCCGGCTGACGCAGGTGCTTTCCGGGCACGGCTGCTTCGGAAAGTACCTGCACTCGGTCGCTAGGAGGGAACTGAGTCCCGCCTGCCACCACTGCGACTGCAGTGAGGACTCGGCCCAGCACACGCTGGCGGTCTGCCCCGCATGGGCGGCGCAGCGCCGGGCCGTCACCGCAGTCATCGGAGTGGATCTCTCGCTGCCGGCCGTAGTACGCTCCATGGCCGGTAGCGACAGTTGTTTTACCGCGGTCGCAACCTTCTGCGAGGAAGTAATCTTGCGGAAGGAGGCGGCGGAGAGGGCCCGGGAGGACGACCTCCACTCGGACCCGATCCGCCGCCGGCGATCCGGGCGGCGGAGGCCCGCCTTTCACCGCCTCATGCCGCCCTGAGTGTGGCCGCGGGTGGACGGGGTGGGTTTCCCCTCCACCCGCATTAGTTTGGCCAGCCGCGAGGGGGCGGCGTCCGCGTGTGCCGGACGTCGCCTAAAGAGAGGAAAAATATTGAGACGGAGCCCGCACCAGGAGCGGGCTGGCGCTAGGAGGGGTCCGGATGTCTTAACAACAGCTGTTCCCGGATCCCTCCTGTTACAGGCGCAGAGTGGCACACCGTGTGGTTTTAGTCGGTCCGAGTCCGACACACCACCCCGCCGCAAACCCCGGAGGGGTGACGGTCCGAGGGGATTTCCACATGTTAAAAAAAAAAAAAAAAATGGGTACCTGAAAAAAAAAAAAGAAAAAAAGAAGCTGAAAATAAGTTGTAAACTCATTCGACACCTATGATATCATGGTGAATTGCATTTCCTAATGAGAAGCAAAGGTTAGTGGAACATAATTATAAGTAGTTCCGCTTTAGGCGGCGCCGACATTATGTATTAGATAAATAATAGCCGGACTTCAAGAAACATAGGTATAACGTAATATAATATAAGGGCTATCTGTATCGCGGGTCATAAAATGGGTTCGTTTTTAATGTGTGCAATTTCACATAAAAATCAAAAATTCATTTTTGAAACCTACCATAGCGACGAAAGTTCATTATTAATGTTTATTAATAATAATAAATATACGCCATCTGGTCGTTTTTTAACGACCGGATGGCGTAGTGGTTTGTGTAACGGGCTGTTATTCCAAAGGTCGCGGGTTCGATTCCTGCTCAAGTCAAACATTTGTGTGCATGAACATTTAATGTTTGATTTGGTCTGGGTGTTTCTATGTATAATATGTATGTACATATTTACAAAAAAAAAGTATATATGTATTTATATCAGTTGTCTAGTACCCATAGTACAAGCTCTGCTTAGTTTGGGACTAGATGGCGTTGTGTGAATGTGGTACAATATTATTATTGTTATTATATTATTATGCGAGTCATATCGACAGGAACAAAGTTCGTGAGCGATTATTTTTGCTGCAAAGGGTGCAAATGTGCGATGGAGTTTACTTTGTCTTGATTACACCGAGACAAGAAAGTAGTCAGAACAAATTTTATTGTTTATGAATCAGTGTCGATTTAGCAGCGACTTGTTCAGTTACACCACTTTAACAATTAATGAAATACTAAATACACTCTTAGATATACATAACTACTAATCAGATTTATACCTACCAATCGGAGCAAGAGGATTTACTGAAGTTCAAGAACAGGTCAAACAAATCTCGTTTATCTCGGCGACCTAAGAGATTTTAATGTCATGCAGGCTCGCTTTGTGTTTATACTACACGTAACTGAGATAGCTAACGAATGATTGTTTATGAAGCTGAACATTAACAGTCTCAGAGTGGGTCGAGGTTATTTATTTGTAAATATGTACCTACCAACATTTTTTAAACTTATCTGTAATATAACTTTTCCATTCGTCATTTAAAAAATCACTTGCTGTCTAGTGTCTATGTATACATTTTCTTATGTTTCTATTTTTATGCAGACGTATGTATTTTACCTAAAACCTCCTTGCGATAAACTCCAAACAGATGAAGCGATGACTTTGCCTTTATTGATTTTTCTCACGGATTCTAGCAGTAAGTACGTCTGTAACCAGCAGGGTATACGTGTTATATTTTTTTTCTTGGTTCCACGAAGAAAGAAAAACTCTAAAATAGCCATTACATATCGCATCGCCATCGCATATATTTGGATCCGTTCGAAGATAGTAAATCTATTGAGAGATTTGAGACCAGACTGAAATAGACTTCACTCGGCATTTACCGGTCTCAAATCTGAATAAGTAAGATTTAGGAGTGAAGTCGCTAAAGCTAAATAAGAGGGCGTAATAGCGTTACTTGTGCATTGCCAAGCGGCAATACTTGCGCGAGTATTTATAGGTAGCGATAACCGCTAACCTCTTAACAAGAATCAGTACTTAAAAAGTATAAAGAACATTTGATATTCAACCAGAAAATCCAAATAAATTTACAAATAACTTTTGCTGACTATAAAGTGATCATACAAGCGAACATAGTACAATGGCCGAAGTCGGTGGGTGTTCGATGGTTTCTAGCTCGTCGTTGGTCACGGCACAATTGTGATCGCTCAAGTGGAATCAAGTGCACTAAACTTCCATTACTTTTGTCAGTATTGCGCCTACAGACATCCGTTAGTAGCATTGTGAGAACTCTTGTTGTTTATTATATTTACAGCTCTATTCATCGTTTTGATACATATATCACTGTATACTTATGTCAGTCGACCTTTACAAGAAATTAATTTCCTCTTCGGGTAACTTTGACATTTGCTTATTTCCAGGGCTTTTCGATCGTTTATGAAAAAGGGGAAGAAAGGCCAGCAGGCGCCGACAGAAAAGTCAAGTAGCCAGACAAATGGCCAAACCTCACCTATTGTGTTCCGAAGGGGACATCAATGTAAGTAAAAACTATGTGTATAATGTAAGAATATTTATTAGTTCTGCCCAACGTTTATTTTCCTATATAGGTATCATTATAAACGAGAATGTGAGTTTGTTTTCGTTCACGCCCTGTAAGTTGCTAGGGATACAGTAAAGGATACACAAACGATACCCTTCAACTGAGACAACCTTTCGGGATACAAAAATAACTAAATAACGATAGTTCGTTGGTCGTCCCGGCTGGAGGCTCAACGTGCTGGTTTTGCCGCCGTGGAGGCGCTCCAGCCGGTTATCGTCAAATGGGCAGGGCGGCAGCACGGGACCCTTTCCTTGATATTAAGACTATTGAGTCCCACCTGTCACCACTACGATTGTACTGAGGACTCGGCTCAGCACATGCTGGCAATTTGCTCGGCTTAGGCGTCGCAGTGTCAGGTCCTCACTGCGGTCATCGGAGATCTCTCGATACCGGCCGTCATACGCTCCATGGCCGGTAGTGATAGATGTTTTACAGCGGACGCATCCTTCTGCGAAGACGTCATCTCGCAGAAGGAGGCGGCGGGAAGGCCCGAGAGAATAATTTCCATTCGAACCCAATTCGCCACCAACAAACCGTGCAGCGGAGGCGCGCTTACCAGCGCCTCATGCCGCCCTAAGTGTGGCCGTGGGTGGACGCGACGGGTTTTCGCTCCGCCATAACGGCCAGCCGCGAGGCGACTTCCGCATGTACCTGGACTTCGCCTAAATAGAGAATGTACCCGAAGGTGATGCCCGGGCAGGCGCTAGGAGGAGTCCGGATGTCTTAATAACAGCAGTTCCCAGAGCCCTCCTATTAGTGGCGCAGAGTGGCACACCGTCTGGTTTTAGTCGGTCCGATTCCGACGCACCACCCTGCCGCAAACCCCGGTGTGGTGAGGGGATTTCCACACGTAAAAAAAAGGATGAACGCTGTTAATTATAGGTATGTTAATTTTTACCCAATTACAGTAACACGAAATTGAAGTTTTCATTTTCATTGATAGATTCCCAATTCTTATAGCTCTCGTCCAGTCCAGTTCGCTCATTTTTTTATAGCATATTGGGAAAACGAGTAGCGGGTCACGTGATCCACTACCCCCGCCCATGGACACCTGCAACTCCAGGGTCACAAGTGCGTTGTTGCCGTTTAAGTAGAATCAGGGGAAGGGCAGGAAACCTCACTCGCTCGCTGAAAAAATTGCTAACACCGGTTTTCTGTGAGGTCTCTGGTCGAGCTAGCCCATTTGTGCCGAAAAATGGCTCTTCAAACGTTATTTACGGTCTCATGGAGGAACGGGTATTAAGTCCCGGGCTGCGGCCCGCCAGGCATGATCACCTTTCGCCTGGTCGGAGGATTCTCCCTTTGCGTTGGAGGGACATGACACCCGGCCCTCCACAGTGGGGACCCCTTGGATTGGAAGCAGCCTTCCTTCAAAGAAGATCAGCACCATCGTGTACACTCCCACAGCGATGAGAAGTATTCAAGTCTCAGCCAGCCATACGCAGGTAGCGACCGCTCCAGCCTAGTTACCTCTACGACCTCATCAGATCATTTTCTTTGATGTCAGATAAAATTAAACGTTTAAAATCATGTTTTCCAGACTCGATAGCTACGCGAAGCACTGTAGGATCACCAGAGAGAACAGATCGCTATGTGTACGGCGGTTCAGTCACTCCTCTGCCACGCTCTCGGTTTCAAGAGCGTTTACGAAGCACCAGTAACCACGAGGTAAACTCACTCAGGTAAGGCATATTCAAATAAATACGCTGAGAAAAGATCAAACCAAACGAAATAAGGTACTTTCCCCTTTATAAACAAGGACGCATTCAAATTGCAGAGAATTGGTTATAATAAGTTTTTATTGACGCTTTAGTATGAATGCCTTTGGACTGCTGAAGCACGCCCTGCCGTGCCATGACGTCAGTCAACGCCAGCGCCTAAAGTAGTAGAACGATGACACAGGAATACCAATCACGTTTATCAATTTCCAGTGCCACCCCTCGCATGGCTCGCAGTGAAGTTTGTGGATCCCGGTTAAGCGTAGAAAGTACGAACCCTTTCGATGAAGACGGACCTGTGCCGCCGGTACGAGCTTCACGACGTAAGAAGAAACGAGCGCCGCTGCCACCTCCAGGAACCGTTGCAGTTACACCGGATACCACGCTGGACACAACAGCTGACAGTATAGCCGACACTACGGTTGATAGTATCGCCGACACAACGGCTGATAGTATCGCCGACACAACGGCTGATAGTGTCGCCGACACAACGACTAGCAGTACCGCTAACACTACGGTAAGAATAACATAAGTTATATATATTATACAATTCATTGCAAAAATGCTAGATGAAGAGACTTTCAAAAATAATAGAAACTTTTTTTGCACTTAGTATCATACTCCTGTTTTAAACGTACTTGCCAAACACTTTCATATGGTAACAGTCATATTTTAATATTTTAATTAGCCAATCTTCATATAAATTTCTTTAAAAAAATCGTTCAAGATTCTTACAAACATAAAATTTCTTACAAAGAACATACTGAATTAGAAGAAGTATCTTACAACATGAGTACATGAAATGACCACGCCGCTAGCAATTGCGATTCAAACATCGAACCCAAGTTGCACCATTAACGCAGTCTGTCTATTACGAGTATTATATTACTGCTTCAGGGGCATCATATATTTATTTCCGTTTTATCATAATTAGGACTCGTCAAGCCAGTCAACACCAGAGCATTAGACATACAAACAAATAAATTGTGGTGAATATCTCTATGTTCAACAAACTTCGCTGGTATTTGTAGTCTAACCCCAAAAGCAACACATGCACTTATGGCTATTATGTCACAATAAAGCACTATTATTATAACAGAAGGGCTTCCGGGAGACCTGTCTGTAGTACACGGCCATAACCTTACAAAAATACACCTTTGCTTTTAATGTGCGTATCTATACATTTGGACACGCTGATTTTTTAGGTTTGAAGCCGATGTCCAACAAAATATCACACCTACTACAATTATTTAACATATAATTAACACTGAACTAAGATATAATAACAGCAATATAAGAAAATTTCCTAATTTGTATTACAGGTAACCAGTACCGCTCCTGAACTACAAATAATTGAAATCCAAGAAAATAAACTCAACAGCCCTAATGCAGAATTAGAATTGGAAGATGTTAATTTGAACATTGAGCTTAAAATAGTTGAAGACGAAGACAATAAAAATAAGGTGAATGCAATAGCAGAAGCACCGAGTACTAAAACGGAACATAATAATGAGATAGTTGAATCCCTCATAGTTGTAGAATCTATCCAAACATCTAATATAGAACAAACTGAAACAAAGAGACAACCTAATGGTGATATGCCTACAGCCAACGACGAACCAATAAGAAATACTTCTTCGGAAGAAGATATTCTTAATTCGGCCACATTCCGTAAAGTAGATATTGTAAAATATAGAAGAAACTCGAGCGTTAATGAAGACGATATACGTTTGCGACGAGGTAATTTAGAGGATTTTCAATCTTTGTCAAATAAGAGAAGTAAAAGTCTCGGTAACACCTTTGACTCCACATTTACGACCTACGATATTAATTTAAATGACACGATGCATATGGACACAAATGGAAATGAGGAGCCACATAAAGTAGTTTGCAAACTTTACGAAGATACACCACGGAAACAGAGCATTGAAACCATTTCAAGTACAGAAAAGGAGTTTCTAGAAATAGATAGAGCTACAAGAGAGCTTGAAAGAGAAATTAACAAATTAAATTCTGCGCTACATGAAGATCTTCCTGAAACAGGGGATAGATTGTCAGTATCAGAGATCAAAAGGAGGTTTGATAAAAAGGATGTGTCATCACCAAATCCAATACCTAAGCCAAGAAGAAGTCATTATGGAGGTTCTAGCACACCGTAAATGGAAGTATAATACCTAGTCCTGGTCATTAAAAAGATACATCGGCTAAAATGTAAAGAAATTCCAAACATGTACCTATCAACAAATGTTTATTTTATGTGTGTCTAGAACAAGGAGTTATAACTAATTTATACAGACAAACTATTAAAATATTCGAAAGTTAGAATAAGTATGAAACGGAAACGTACCTAATTCATACCTGTGTTTAAAATGAAATATAAAGTAGTCTTATACACACATAAAATATCGTAATTTGAAACGAATATTATGAACAATTTGAGGCAAGGAAGCCAAGACGAGGCGTGAACAAATAACAAAAATATAATACAACGCATATTGTGATTTTAGATATAAATATCGTGGTTTAGATAATATATGAATATATATATTCAGATCTCACATTTTCATTTAGGGGATTTGTAATAAGAGTAATATCGAAACGTCTATAATTTTTTTCCTATATATGACGAATAAGGTCTTTAAAAGATAGTGTATACACTACAAAAAATACGTAAATAAATATTTAAAATATGTAGCGACGTAGAGTAATATATTTGTGATAACTTTCGTTTTATGTATGCTTTTGTAGTCTCATAAGAAATATTTTTAGCTGTTTAGTTTCTGCAGCATTTTATGATATATATCTTGTGCTACTTAACTATTGAATATAAAATGCTGTAAAAACTATAGTGTTAATTTATGTAATAACAAACAGTCATAGTAGTGTTTAGTGCACTGTGTTTGTTTTCAAGATTCCTATACATATATTTATACAAATGTTCATTTTGGGTTTAGTTACTTGTTAGTTCAGTCATTGTTGTTTAATAAATTATTATTATATTTATATTGGTTGATCGATTTTTTATTTCTCATGAAATAATTTACCATTCAGCTACATTAATATACTTTAGTCAAACAACTAGACTTCTGTTCTCTATGTTAAATCTATTATTAATAAAAATGAGCAAAATGCATTTGATATGGTATAAGTATATTATATCATTAGATAAACTTATATTCTAAACAAAAAAAAAATAGTTAAATAATAGTTCCACTAAAATGTCAGTTATAATTTGCTTAATCTATCCTTTTTATACTTTATAAATCTGGGTAAATTTGAAATTGCAGTGCTGACAAGAACTTTATATTCCTTTGGAAGTCGTTTTTGTTGCCGTGCCTGAAAGTAACACAAAATATCAGAATTGATACATATACAGCTTGCATTTTTTTTATCGCCGTTTAAAGATAATTGTGTACTATGCAATAGCGATACTAAGCGTAGAGATGTCAACTGCAACAACAAGGGGCTCGTGACAACTGTATGTACTATTTGATTATAACCGAAACCAAATAGCTACCTTTTTAATTATTTTTACTAGTATGTCCCAATTTACTCATAAGGGTCACAGATTCCATCAGGAGCAAATATTCATATACAAGGATGTTATAAATAATCGAGACATATGCCAATACTAAGTAATAACCAAACTTTGACAAATGATTAACTTCTTCAACTTATTTACCATTTTAAATTATTTCAGAAATAGCTTAGTTTTAACTTTTACTCAGAAAATGCACAAATATTTATAATTTCCCTTGGTCTTTATTGGCTTGAGAAGTGCCTTTTGATTCGTGTTATTTGTGCTTAAAATTATAAATAATAAAACTTTCTCAAACTTTTGAAAAACAAACAAATGAATTTTTAGCTTACTTACTTTGTTTTTCAATATAGGCGCAAGTACAGTCAACTTTTCAACCAGCTTTACTTTAGCGGCTAATGCATCGGTTTCGTCCTCCGAATACAAGTCCACTAGTGTATCTATTGATTCAGCTAATACCCACACTTCGTTCTCTTTATGTGCTTGCTCCAATATGAACTCAGTAATAGTGCATATAACATTAATAGTTAAATCATTCAAGTTGTTTGCCAATAACAAAGCCAAGATGCCAACCATTCTGATTAAATTTGATCTTATCTCTGGTACTTGACATTCCTTTACCCCAGTCAACATTATCTATAAGATAAATTAAGAAAGATTATATTTCATAAAAAAGAGCATAAAACATTGTTGATGCATGAAATAAAAGTACTAAAAAAATCTTAAGTCACTACTAACTATCAACTTCAAAACTAAAACTATGATTAAAGAACAATTTCACAAACAAATTAAATTGGTTTTAAAACAAAATCATAAATATCTAACCTCAATTCAGATTAAATATTTTTCATATTGATACATAACATTGACAGAAATACATTGAAACTGCTTTGCAAAATTATTTTAGCAAAATATATTGTTAATATTTACCTCTATGTCAGACAAAGCCAAGTCACTGAACAAACTGCAATCACTAGTATTACCATTTTCTCTAAACTTGATTTTATCCAATGCAGCTCTCATGACAGCCGTAGCGGACTCAGATAGGTTCACATTTTCTGAATCTGATTTAAAGACCAACTTTCCAGCATCAACCCAAATCTTGTAAACGCCATTCACTCCACCAAGGTGTTCAATAGGCAAGGTTGATAGTAAATTATTTGTACATAGTAATGCTCTAGTTTGTAAGCTGAGCAATCTAAAAAGTCAAAACTAACATTAATTTGATAATATTTACCTTGCTGAAATTGGTCCATAATAGACTAAGAGATAAATTTCATAAACCTTCCTATCCTAATACATACTTACAAGTAATTTGAAAAAAATCACCTATTCTAATGGATTTTGGTACAACCTCCACACACTCACATTTCAAATATTATAGTTAAAAATTTCTTTTCTGTAAAGGTACTTCTGTAATTAGATTTCTCTAATCTTGAGTGACACTTTTTGTACAACCTACCTTTTATATATCAATTGTGATCCCTCATATTCTTTCAATATCAATAATACATTCTGTGCAGGCAGCTGAGTTCTGGCCCAGACCTTATCAAATATTTCCAAAGATATTAAAGCTTCCATAACTTCTGGTGGAAGCTTATCTTCTGCTAAAATTGAGCCATTGCCATTTTCACATAATTCTTCCTCTATTTCCTCACTGTCTGATGAGTCATTGCCTTGAACATCCTCACCATCTGTAACACAATGTCACTTAATTTAACAAATAATACACAGTAGATTTACAGACCTATTCTATGTAGTTTTTGAAATTTGTTGAACACCAATGTTTTAGAACTTTGATAGTCATTTCTTCAAATTTAAATATCATCATCAACAACCTTTAATAGTTGTCCACTGCTAGACATAGGCCTCTCCTCAGAAAGGAGGTAATGGCCTACTATAGCATGCTGACCAGATGGGTTGGTATAGGCATATTAATGTTATGGTATAGCGATTGTTTCAAGCTTTCCTTCTCTTTGGAGTGCTGTTGTCCTGCGTAATTTGCTCTTGATAACACTCTGTATTAATTTTTAACTATATTATAACAACTTAACTATTGTTTGCTATATATATAAATAAATTGCAACATTTATGAAATAGTATTTTTAAAACAAGGCTGCTTGTATGCTGTAATAATATGAAAGTATCTTGTATGAATAATCCGTGGGAGAGCCATGCTTTAGAACGAATGGACCGGCTTGACTGGAGTGATACCACAGCCTCACAGAAAACTGGTGTTAAGCAATTCTTTCGTTACCTTTCAGTGAGTGAGTAAGGTTACTGAAGCAACAAATCCCCACTCCCGCTGACTCAAACGGGTGGGACTCCAAGGGCAGCAACACACTCGTGACTTTTGAGTTGCAGGTGTTCATGGTCGGTGGTACTTGCTTACCATCAGGTGTCTTACCCGTCTGCTCGTTTGCCCCCTTATACAAAAAAAAAGGTACCTATCATAATATGTAACCAAAAAAAAAAATTTACCTTCACAAGAACATATATTAGCAATAATTTCAAGTGAACTCTGTTGAGCTGTTAACATGTGTGATGCAGACTTCAGCTGATTTTCGAGTTGTTTGGCTGCCTTGTCCTTCGGTGTGTCTACAGTCCCTGTGGGATCCTTTAAAGGTACACTGCTAGACAATTGGTTACAAACAAATCTGTGATCTATAGCTAGAGTAGCAGCCAGTGTAGACAATATTTGATTAATTACTTCTGTGGGCAGTACAGTTATATTACCACCACAGGTATTTATTATCACTCCAGATGAAAGAATTTTAATCAATAGTATTTCAGGGTCATTGCCTTCTAGTCCTAGCAATAACTGTAGATGGTTCTCCGCGTTCAATTTAACTTTAGCCATGGCAACTGGGTTGTCCTCAACTACTACAAACAAACATTGTAACACTGATATAACAATGTCACTTGTGAATATGCCAAGATCTAAATATCTGGGCAGTATGTCCAAAACTCTTGACTGTCCCAAATATTTGATGGCTAGCTCTGGAAAAAAAATAATGATACTGGTTAAAATACTTAAAATTCTACTTTAGTGTACTGAAATATTATAAGTTATACATAATCATCATCCTTTAGTAGTCCACTGGCTGGTCTTAAGCCTCTCCTTATAAAGGACACGCCTACCCCACTGACCAGACGGATTGCTATAGGGTTTATTTCAAGTTTTCCTTTTCTTTGCAGTGCTGTTGGTCTGCATAGTTTGATCCCTTAGTCAGCTCTTACAACACCTATGGGACGAATAGGGCTGGTGACACTCCATATTATTAATCTGTCACCAACAACATGGATCATACAATAAGTTATACAAGAATTTATAATATAAGAATACACAATAAGTACCTGAACTTTCACAAAGGTTTAGTAACAAGTTAACACATTGAATCAACGTGTCAATATCTTCATCTTTTGTTTTAATATTAGCCTCTGGAACCCAATTTGCAGCATGCTATGGAATGAACATAAAAATATTTAAAATAAAAAACTTAGTAATATGTGAAGAGATATACCAATCATATTTATTACAATACTAGCGGACCCGACAGACGTTGTCCTGTCAAATTTGACACTGCGATGGTAGCGCCGTCTGTCTGATCCAATGTAAAACATTCCAAAATCAACAACTACTAATAAATTAAAAATTAATTAAAAAAACATTGTCCAGCGGACAAAATTGTGAATCTAAACCATTCCCAGATCCCCTTGAACACACACAAAAAATTTCATCAAAATCGGTCCAGTCGTTTGAGAGAAGTTCAGTGACATACACACTCACAGAAGAATTATATATATAAAGATAAATCACGTTCAGACAAAGATCGAATGATTGTGCTCATCAAACAATATTTCACCTGGGTGGAAATTGAACCCTCTGGCTTAACAGCTAAGACTGCTAATCACTACAGCAATAGGCCAGTCAAAATACTTTCTTGATAAATACTATGATAAAACTGTGGTAACATGAGCCTGAAGAGTAGACATAATCATTATAAAACAATTTTGAAATTAATATAAAATTAAAGCGTAGAAGTAGTTCATTCTAATTTTATATTAGATTCTATTTGAAGACTTGTAAGTTTTAGTAAATCAATAAATGACTCTTTGCAGGACAACCCTTGCAGATCCTGAAGTTATTCAATACATCAACACACATGCACTCTTTTGGGGTTGTTCTGTAGACACTGCAGAGGGTTGGCGTGTAGCTCAATCTGTTGGTGGACGACGGTATCCTCTACTTTGTGTAGTTTGTGTACGTGATCACCGTATGACTGTTGTTGCGAGGAGTGAAGGGTCATGCTCAGCGTCACAACTGCTACAACGCTTGCGTCGCGTTGTAGCCGATAATGAACCACATCTATCGGCAGCTAGAGCAGATAGGTAAGTGTTATATCTAAATAACATTTTTGAGAAAATCACATTGTCATAGGATTTGATTGTGTGGAGCATTTTCCTAAGTTATGGCAAGGAGAAGTCCTTGCCAAAACTTCAACAGGTATTGCAACGTGTCACATGAACTATGTTTTTAAGATATTTTTTGCATTTGCTCAGTATCAGGATGGCAACTTGATCTATTGTTGGTGCGTTAAATGTGCGTTCGTGTGTTCCAGATGGTCTTTTATCCGCTCTGATCACGACTTTGTAGTCATCATTTGGCATGTGCTCCAAACAACCTGACCAATGCATGATTAAAAAAAAAGGAATAAAAAGCACCCTATGTCCGTCTCCTGGTTTTAAGCTACCTCCCTACCAATTTTCAGCCAAATCGGTTCAGCCGTTCTTGGGTTATAAATAGTGTAACTAACACGACTTTCTTTTATATATATAGATAATTAATGATCATGGAACACATTAAATAAAATGAAGATATTTAACCTCACTATTGAAATAAAAGTAATCTAAAAAGTATAAAACAATAATATATTACAGACAATAATAGGTTATATCTTGACCATTTTGGGGCTGTCCTGTAGAAAGTCCAAAAATGGTCAAAATATTACCATGGTCCCATGCCTATGTGCCAGAATCATCTTCAAAATATAATTCTGAATCTATTGATAGGAAAGAAATCCTCTCCTTAGAAAGGAGGTTTTGGCCAACTTATACCACGCTGGTATAAGTTGGCCAAAACAATGGTGGTGGTGGTGGCTCCATAATCTTAATCCGGCACCACATGGATAGGAAATGATCAACAGATAACTTGACTTTTGCAATATATATAACAATTTGGCACAAAAGAGTATATCACTATCAGCACAGTGAATTGACAACATATTTCATATTATTTTGTTCTATAAATTATCCTCAATTATTTTTAATGCCAAGTTCTGGTCAAGCTTTCTATCTAGACAACTGAATGAGATACAACCTAATCAAAGCACAATCAAAACGCTAAACTAAAAATAATTATAAATATATAATATAAACATTTACAGACCTCATGGAAATAGCAAGTCACAGGAGTCATGACATCCTGCTCCATCATAGCATCACAAGTGTCCATAGCAACTGTGGATAAGTTACGCAATGTACCAGCAGCAGCATTTCTCACAGAGCTTGCCTGATCGAGTAATAATGGAGCCGCTACCTTGACCAATCCTCGATCTATAATCTGCTGCACATTCTCTGGATTTTCAATCATAAGAGCTAGAGTTTGCAAGCCACAATATTTTTCCTCCACATCAGCAGCCTATAATTACATATTTTATTAATAACTACTTAAAGAAAACATTAGATTTATATAGTTTTTAGACCTTTCATTGATCTTCAATAGTTATACAAAGAGTTTGAGAAATTACAAACGAAACAAAACAAACCTGTATTTGGTCTAATATGGTTTGAAGAGCATTTTCCTTGCTGTCAACCGGAAGTTGCTCTTCTTCTTCAATGTTATCAGGTACAATTGAACTTTTGTTTGTCCTTGTAAGTTTAGGTTTTCTTATTTTCCCCATCTTTGTAGATTTCTAACCTAACGAAAACACGCTGTCCGCTATCTACAGTATTCAAAACCAATTGACGTTTGTGTTGTATCATGTCAGCACTCAGCAATGTCAGTTGAAGTGTTGCCAAAGTACACAAATACTTCGTATTACTTTTACACGTAAATGGCAGATAAAACTTTTTAACTCTAAACCGTATAACCCTACATGGGGTGCTGGGGTACCCTAGATTGATTTGTTTTCTAAATATCTCAGTTAGTTTACTACTCACAAATTCGCGGGTCTGAGTATTTTAGTTTAGGGTTGACCGCTTGCGATTTGTACACCCCAGTGTAGAACAAAAAAAATAGGCTTAGAGCTCAGTCTCGAACGTTTGGAGGACTATTAACCATTAACTGTAAACTTTGAAGTGGGTTATATAAGAATCCTTTGGAGTGATCCTCAAAAAACACAAGATCCTACAAGCACTGTTCCTTAGCATTCGACACAAGGACGGAGTTGCTTTTGTCCAAAATCCAAGGACAAAAAACTAGGACGTGACAACGTGCCAAAGGTGTAAAATACCTATTTACTTACAATTAGAGCAACGAATAAACATTTGTAGAAAAGTTCATACTAAAACTAATTTTTATAAGATAAGACTGATTTGTAATCTCAAGTTCCTAATTATTTATCATAAAATAAATTTTCATTTTTTTATTTTTATTTTAACAATCTATTATGAGTTTTGAATGAAATAATATGCGTACGCCGCAGGCCACAAAAACTGTTTGTTTGTTTATATATAAGATAGGAATTGTAACAACATAAAACGTCACACCGCACACAGCGCGAAAACGAGAAGGACAAAACTAGAAACATCTAGATTCCTTAAACAATTTTGCCACACTTATTTATTTTTGTGATGTGATTTTAGTATGAGGTTCTCCAGCACCCCAAGGTAGGAATAACGTGTGCGCTAATTAGTGTAGGGTTATAGGGTTACTAATGTAAAGCAGTTGTAAGAATGTTTTTTTTTTAATATATTTAAAACCAGTAACATCATACACACACTTGAAGCACGTAAAAAAAACAAAGTTCAAAGTAATTTAATGCACAGCAATACAGTTAGCTTAGTCTTTTAAGCAAACCAAAGAAGATGTACACTTTTATTTATTTATTTATGACTTAATGCACAAATATATACATCGGCGGACTTAATGCCTAAGGCATTCTCTGCCAGTCGACCGATTGGGCGATGCAAGAATGAGGTAGGTGCATTTATGGGGATAAAAGTACTATTTGTCCTTCGAATAGACGTATATAGGCAATGATATATTACTAAATTTATAGTATATCTACCAGGATTAACACATTTACATATATATATACACATACGTACACATATACATATATATATTCATATACACATACCTATACACTCATAAACACATAGATACATTTATAAAAAATATTATAACTGTGGGTGATGAATTAAGAGCCCGTTGATTCTGCTAACTCACTCAGCAACAGCTCCTTCACCTTCATCTTGAAGGATTAACGGTTTGTAACCATCCTGACTTCGACAGGAAGCGCATTTCACAAGAGGATAGACTGAACAGAGAACGAAGAACCAACAAACCCGGTAGTGCGAGAAGGACAAAGTAGAAGGAGATTGTTAGAAGAACGAAGGTTTCTGTTATGGTTATTGCATAATAGTTGAGTTTGTGAAGTTAAATAAGTAACGTTGTTTTTTTTTTTGAAAAATCCATTATGTCTCATATACACTGAAATATAGAATCGAAATATAGAAACAAAAATTAATATTTTATGAAAAGAAAAATATTGTAGAAAAAGATGTTTTTTGTTAGTAGATATTTTTATTAGAGGGTGGCAATACCAAGTATACCATAGAGTAGAGATTCTCAAACTATTTAGGGCAAGAGCCCCGTTTTTTTCAAATTAAAACTGCAGACGCCAATAGCCTCACTTAAAAAAAAAACCTATCTCTAGTTTTATTCTTATAAATACAAAATACTTACCAATTTAAAAACTTTGCCGTTGGTTAAGGAAGTAAACTTGACATCATTTTCTATTATAAAAATAACAAAATAAATAGTCATATTTATCAATCTTACACACATCATAACACAAAGTTTCTTGAAAGTTTCAAATAACAACTTGTGTTAATTAATAGGGATCGATTTTTAGACATTGTCGACCCCCGAAATCAGTTTTCGTTTATATCGACCCCTGGGAAACCGATTTCGACCCCAAGGGGTCGATATCGACCATTTTGGAAATCCCTGCTATAGAGCATTGTTTAGTCACAAGAAAAGCAGTCGCCTGAACTTGATGTAGTCTATCAATTTCTCTTTATATTTGTAGAAACCACACAACTCTTCATAACATACTCAAAGTAAACATAATCGTCGTCCATATGTTTCCATGACGCGTCGGAGACAATTGTCAAATTGTCATTTTATTTTTATTGGGCATCATATTCGGCCTAAATATATGCCCAAGTAAATACTGTTTTCTCAAAATTGCAGTCATTTAACATTTCATTTTATAGATATTTTTATAATATTAGTTCTGTCCAAAAATATTTAGTTCATTGCTACTATAATTTTTCAAGAATAACTGAACATCCCTGGACAACTCTTTTCCATTAGTAACATTATCCGCCTTGGTAATGCAAGTTTTATGAGACCTTATGATACCCCAACGTACCAGCGTAAAAAGAAGCTTTTGCACTTTTCGGAACGAAATCCAGAATAATCTATGATATTTTTTGACGAATTTAAAATAGACAACTTTTGAAGCTCTTGGTTGATATATTTATAATTTGTATACATCGAATATCCGAGTCGATGAAGGCAAAGGATTTTTTAAATTTTTGGTATAGAACTCGACTCGGCTTAGTAGAAGATATGCATTATTCAGCCACAAATGTATAGAATAAACAGTCATCATCATCATCAACAGCCTATACCAGTCCACTGCTGGACATAGGCCTCTCCTTAGAAAGGAGGTTTAAACAAAATAAACAGTAACTTTACCTTTCTAGAGAATCTGCATTTTATACAGTATTCAGTAATTGTAAATCGATTTTTGAACTTTAAAAAATTCTAATTAAAATTTATTTCATATAACCATTTAAGATGTGTTTTTGAGTGCTTTGCATCTATTTGGAAGTCATCTACTTATCTCTTAATTTGTGCCTGCTTAGTAAACTGCATGGCAATATAATATGTTATCGAATTATTTGTGTGGGAATATATTCGATTTAAGATATGAGATAGAGAGAGATCATCGAGAGTGGTAAGACGGAACCCTGTAATACGCCAAGATTAACCTGTAAAAATTCCCAAGAGTTATACCTGTTTAGCCAGACTTCTAATTTATCTAAAGCTGAGTTGCCGTAAAAGAACGATGCAAAGATCTCGTTTGTCCTTTAAAAGGAAAAATGGCAATTCAGGTATACAACCAAAAAACGATTTGTGGCAGGCTAAGTAACGAGTAAGTTTTGAAAATATCTGACTAATAATCTGAAACTTTTCAATAGTCTCACCCCAAAGACTACTGAAAAACATTTGTTATAAATTTTGCTCCGAAGTCCCATAGAAAACATGACAAAGCAATCGTCATCTTGGTGTTGAATTGGCTATGTAGGCTAACAGAAATTAGAATGTGTTTAGTTTGTACAGTTAAATAAGAAATTTAATTAGAAGAATTATCGAGAAAGCATAGGGCTTTCTCGATAAAGCCCTATGCTTTCTCGATAATTCTTTTAATTAAATTTCTCTTAATATATTTTTTTAATAATAAAAAGACAACAAATATTCCTAATGCGGGAGCATTAGGAATATATTCTGTGTCGCGGGGGACTTTACAAACAAACATGAAACGGACACAAAGAACACCCAGACTCAAAACAAACAATTTGTGGATCGCACAATTCCCACAAAGTGTCGTCCCATATGGAGTTCGGACTAGTAAACGGCGTGGCGTCCGCTTAAACCACTACGCCTACAAACCACTGAACCGATTTAGATCAAATTTGGTTTAGAGGTAGTTTGAGTCCCGGGAAAGGACATAGGATAGTTTAATCCCGCAATCATCTTTCAAGTGAAAAGGGGAGTAGAAGTTTGTATGCGAATACAATAACCGCTGAACCGATTTATATAAAATTATGGTATGGTATGGAGATAGTTTGATTCTTGAGGAAAGACATGGTTACTATTTACCGCGATAACCGATATACACGCGGGCGGCGGGCAAAAGCTAGTCACTCATAATTTTGAGGATTATACACGCCCGAAAAAAAACAAATCCCTATCCTGTAATGATGCATATCTCCGGTTGTCACAGTCAATTTTCTCTGAATGACTGGACCGATTAACTTGCTTGGCACACATATCATTTCCTATGACATCAATTTCCAACAACATCAACGTTTTGATAAATAGTTTGTTTGTAAATTTTAAAAGTAAGTAAATTACTTTACTTAATCATTTTCCTTGTAATATTAGGGGTTAAAGTATGAAATTGCCGATTTGTACTGAAAAATTGAAACTCGTTTTATTCTAAGATTATCTCATTATGTATACATTGCTGCCATCTAAACGGAAGTTCATTTTTGCCTTTACGATAGAACTCTGGGATCTAGATTCGACAACTTATGTGAAGGCATTTTGGATTGCCTCCTGTGAAGAAATTTTTTTATGACGTAGAAAATTGACAAAATCACAAAAAAAAAAACACTTACGGTTACGATAACCGTCCTCTTCAAACAATCCACTTTTCGTCACATGTCACACGAATATATACGAAAGTATATAAACCAAAAACTAACGTTGCGTTCATTAGCAGTCTCCTCTAAAAACGCAGCGTTAATATGGCGAGCCGTTTCTGCCGCGTTAGTTCCGCGTCGGAACTCGTATTCAAAATGCCTCTGATTTTCGAAGTACGAAAAAGCAATCGAAAGTCGAAAATCGAATGTTGCTCATTTTTTAAAAGAAGAACCTAAA